GTATCTTACTTTATACTACATTATTATTTTATTTTAGCGGTGCTGGAGATTGAACCCAGGACCTCCTGCAAGCTGGGCAAGGGATCTACCAAGCTACACCCCAGGTCCTCGGCTCTCCCTTAAGACACCTGGGTCTCGGCCACCGAGGCGACCCCGCTGCTCTCCCACGAAGGGCGATCTAGGAGGCTGCCTCAGTTCCCCCACAGGCAGATACCGACTCCCGGACCGAGATGCTCTTGCTCCGCCATTCTCCCCTTGGCGGGACAGGAGGGTCGCCGAGAAAGAGCAGGGCAAACCGGAAATTGCCGTGGGCCAGCCGGACAGGAAAGGCGGGGACACCAGCCACAGCCGGCGGGCACTGGGTGACCCTTCCGGCTCCACAGGACACTTTCTCGCTGGCGTCGGCGGGAGCAAAGAGGTGATGGCAGCTGGGTGGGTCGGGGCCAGAAGTGTTACAGCCAATCACCGACGTCTTTGTGGCGTATGGGCGGGACGTAGAGACGTCGTTGCCTAGGTGACGCGCTCCCTGCGTGCTTGTTCCGAGAGCTGCAGAGAGTTGCTTTTCTGCAGGTGCGTATGGAGCCTGTGGACCTCCAGACCCTCGGAATGTGTGGTCTCGCAGCCACATTGACTTCAGGAGAAGGGGTTGGTTTCAGGGTTGCCTTCTAGCCTCCGAAGTCTCCAGCGGCTCTTGGAGTTCTTAATTATTTTTCTTTTAAACTTTTTATCCCGTGGGGTCTCACTTAAGAACACTTTGCTGGTTTCCTTCCCTCCTGAACTCCCTCCCTCCTTTCTTTCCCTCCTATCTTCCTTTCTTTCTCTTTCTTCAGTGTTTAAGATTTGTTCTGCTGCTTATTATTACACCCCCCCCCCCCACCTGGTACAGGGATCGAACTCACGACCTTGCACTTAGGAGGCAGGCGCGGTGCCACTGAGCTAAATCCCCGGCCCTGCTTTATTCTTATTCTCTTTACTTCTGTCACATTCCTTTTTTTCTTTTTGGTACCGGGGATTGAACTCGGGTCCTTGTGCTTGCGAGGCAGGTGGCGGAACCACTGAGCTAAATCCCCAGCCCATGTCACATTCCTTTATTTTCTCCTTATGGTCATCTCTTTCCTTCTCTAGAACACATCTCTTCATTGCCCACGTCTCCAACCTAGTTCAGCTGCCTTAATTAGTTACTAGTTATTAGCTCAGGCTGGCCTTGAACTCACTATGTAGCCCAGGCTGGCCTCGAACTCAAAGTGATCTTCCAGCCTCAGCCTCCAGGGTGCTGAATTACAGTTGTGCACCACCATCCCTGGCTCAGTACCAGTGATTTTCTTTTTCAGATAACTCTTCTTTCTAGTTTTCGTCATTAAAACTAGTTAACTGTTAGGATGATCTCTGAAGTAGATAGTGATCTATTTACTAAGGGTGGTGTCATCTTAGTGAAGCACAGAGAAGCTGCCAGGAACAGGCATTTGTTGAGTGTTTTCTAAGCCCCAACCTCCACCAAGTGCCTTCATCCATGGTAGCTAATACTGTACCTGTGACAGGCTCTGATGTAAGTACAGCCTTAGGCAGCATACATGCTCTGCTGGATTTGTGTGGAGTTCATAAATTGTAAAGTTTTGTCATCAATTTAAAAGTCACACTTCATATAGAAGTTGAATTTTGGGGACTTCCCTTGAAAAATATTCAAACTATGGCAACACTGGATCTCCAATGGCCCCCTCTAAACAAAATATGGGGTTTTCTTTTGGGGTTTTTTGGTACCGGAGATCAAACTCTGGTCCTTGCGCTTGTGCAGCAGGCAGTGAAACCACTGAGCTAAATCCCTGGCCCCAAAATATGGTTTTTGGAAGCTCCTGAAGTCCCTTTGCCTTGCTATCTTACACCAAAGCCATTGGTACACTTCTGGAGGCATTACATTTTTTTAGGACTGTGTTTACTTTTTGCCTCACTTTCCCCTGGTGCCTTTCTGAGCTCTTTCAGGGATGGTAGTTCCCACACAGCAACTGTGGTAACTCTTTCTTCCAGACCTGCTCAGATCCTAAAGCTAGCCTTGGAAGGAACTGCTCTCATTCTTAAGCTTAGGTGGTCAATAAATATTCTCAGAATAGGAGCTGGAGATGTAGTTCAGTGGTAGACTGCTTACCTCCTAGTACCAGGCCCTGGGTTTGATCCCTAACACACACACACCTCTGAACAACTAAATAAATGCTCAGACTTCATTTGGTGATCTAGTGAACAGCCCCCGAAAGTACCCCTAAAGTGGCCCTTTTTGCTGGCAAAGAACTTTTGCCCAGAAGTTAGGACACATTCCCTGTTCTTATAACTTGGTGCCTCCTGGGACTTCGAGGGTGGCATGGTCCTCTCCAGGAGTGAGATCCCTTACCCTGGGCACTCAAGTCTGCTCCTTGTTGGCAGACGGGGTGCAATGGTGTTTTCTTTTCCAGGACCTCTCCGACTTTGTTTTGATTTGTAGCTCTGGCTTGAAAACAGTATTGACTTTTGTTACAACTTTGTACATTGCTCTTTACCTTGAGGATTAAAACACCTGGAAATACTAACTAGAGAAAACTCCAGGGGTTGGCTGGGTATGGTGGCACACCCCTGTAGTCTCAGCACTCAGGAGGCTGAGACCAGAGGATCATTGCAAGTTTGAGGCCAGCCTAGGGTTAATAGTGAGTTCAAGGCCAGTCTGAGCTACATAGTGAGACCCTGTCTCAAAAAAAAGTTTTTTTAAATCCTTTGTTAAAAAAAAAATTTTTTTTTTCTTCAAGTTGACAGTAAAATCAAACCAAATCCTAAGACTTATAAACCATATTTAAGAGCAGAGTTGGAAACTCAGATGCCCCAGGGACTTAAGTGTGGACTGTGGTTGCCTGGAAAGCAGACTGTGAAGGTTAAAAATATGGACCCAGTGTTGCCAAATATTCTGATGTTTTTCTTTAGGTACTAGGGATTGTACCCAGGTCCTTCACATTGAGCCACCTCCACAGCCCTTTTTATTTTTTATTTTGAGACAGTGTCTTGCTAAATCACTAAATTGCTGGGTGTAAATTTGAGATCCTCCTGCCTCAGCCTCCCAGAATGCTGGGATTACAGATATGTGTCACCACACCTGGAATTTCTGATTTTTTAAATTAATTTATGAGAACTCTCATAATTTTTAAGGAGAACTCTGATAATTTTTAAATGTCAGAAATTAAGTTTTTTTTTTTTTAAGTAAATCTTGTGAGCTGTTACAGGGAAAATAGTGCCAGGCTTGCTGAGTTAAGGGGTGAATCTTGGAGGACTTGAGGTACCCAAGGGGGCAGGCATAGGATCTTCTCCTGGAGGAAACGTCCTGAAAGTAAACCCCAGGGCTGAGGACCTCCCTCCCTTATCTGTACCCTGCCTCACCTGTGGAAAGTAAAATGCATTCACTGTCTTTCCCACTTTGGGCCTTAGTTCCCAGGATCTGAAGGGAAACTGAGGCTGAGAGGTGGTGTTTGAGGCTTCCAGGGATGTCTGAAGACCTGGGGCCCCATGGACATCTGGGTCAGGCCTCTCTCTCCACTCCATCCCTGAGCTGCAGTAGATCTAGAAAAATCAGATTATCCCACATCTCTCAGAGGTGTAGGGCATCAGAAGGTCTAGAGGGAGTTCCCAGCCTGGTTCCTAAGTTTACCCTTAGGGAGAGCAAACTCTGTAAGTCTTTTTTTAAAAAAATTAATTTTATTGGTGCATTTTAGGTATACAATATAATGACATTCGTCATTGGAAATTTGCACTTTTACATAATCTCTCTTGGTTCTTATTTTTTTCCC